ATATTCAATAATTAAGCCATTCATTTGTAAATTTTTCTATTCATATGGTAAACGTTTACCGGAAATTCTGGATTTTAAAATTATGGGCCTTTTTACCATACATATAGTAAAAAACACAGAACTGAAAAGTAAATTCAACCGAATAAATTGTTTTTGTGCCATGCTCTAAGTTATCATGATGAAATTGCTAAATTTTACCACATTTACAAAATTCATATTGGATATTATAAAACCATATTTAAGTGTAAATTTTATCAAAATCATTCCTAAAGCACTTCGGAAAAAATTACCGAGCTTTTTGGTGTTCCCATAAAACTAGAAACTCGGTAAATTTACCACATTCTGGTAGCTTTGACTATACTTTTTTTCTCAGTGTACCATTAACCTTGCAGATATGAATTTTTATATAATACACACATCAAATGAAACACCCGTCTATATTAAGGAGTAATTTATTTTTCTCAATGGTTAATATACTTATCTTAAAGAGGAATAAAACTAATTTCGTATGCAAGGGAAATTTTCCCTTTAATCTTAAGTAAATATCTATTTTCGTATAATCTAATAACAACTATGTACTGAAGAATCTTGTTTTATCTCTTTCTTTCATCATCTTTGTCACCTACTATGAGGAATAGCGCGAGCTTTATTGCTAGACGTTTATATAACTTGTACATTTTTATTTTAATGCATTCCATGTCGTTTTTGTCTTGTTATCTTGGCGAGTATTTTTTTTTTTGCATTATAATATTCATTTCATGAAAGTAGTGTCCTTTGAAAAATTCAAAAAGAAGCGTTAGATAAGATATAATCTTATACAGAAAAAAAATCTGGCAACAATACTGTTTCAATTAAGATTCAACACACAAAACTGTTAGAATAATAACTGTCACGAGTTTTACAGAATGGAAATAAATGTATCTTTCGAATTGTTTGTGTGTGTTTATAAATAAGATACTAAGTTTTATCTTTACAAAATGTAAAATAAGCCGCGGGGGTTTTGGTTATAGTTTTTTGTTCTTATACTTAAGAAGAATTTGTTGCCCTTACATAGTATGTTTTATTGTTTGCCTAATAAAGAGATGTACGCGAAAACAATTTTGTATGGTAATGACATTTCTGATCGAAAAATCGATAATGATGATTAATTAAAGTAAAAATATATGGTATTTAAACCATTCATTTTCTATTCTCTAAGGTATCATGATAAAATTACACAGTTTTATCACATTTACCAAATTGTATCATATAATTTTAAACTTTGTTTCATTATTAATTTTATCAGAATCATTACAAAGCGCTTCGCAATATCATGAGCCAATATAATATAATAAGTGGTCCCATATAAGTATTATGGGTCAATATTAAGGTCAGATATCGGACCTTGTGTTAATGTAGAATAACACGATAAATTTTACCATATTTTGGTAGTGTTAACAATACTTTTTTTCTCAGTGTTGCAAAAGCTCAATCTAATTTTATATAAAAATATAGCTAATATCTTAATATAAATTTTAAGAATTCATATGAAAAAAAGTGTTTGTAATCGCAAATTAATATATAAACGAAAGAGAAACGCTATCAAAATCTGGCGAAACATTATTGTGTAAAGCGGGGTTAACGGCATTAAAATCAATTTGATTTTTAGATGAAACTTGAAAGTCTTTCTAATAAACGCCTTTCACGTCCTCTCATCTTCATCCGAAAGTCATACACATAATGATATTTTGATCTCCAAATCTTTCAGATTGGCGGAGAAAATAGTTCATGTGTGGTCAGATTTTGATACAGTTTTTTTAATTTTTTCTTGTTTATGCATTAATTTACGGCTTGCCATGCATATGTTTACTGCTATGTCCCGTTTTTTACTTTATTTTTTATTAGAGTTTTTTAAATTACATATTAAGGTTAGTGATTAATGGCCACCATTTATACTAGAAAATTTTAAACCTAAGGGTTAAATATTAATTTAACCCTTTGACGCAGCTGGGACACCAGTATCATTTTTTCTGAAGCTCTAATTACGAGTGAAAATAGATTTTGGTGTAATTTTTAACTATGAAAACTATCGAATAGTTTTTCTAAAAAATATGTTAGATAATTAAAATTGTATTTGTACTAAAATGTAAAATCAAGAAAAAAAATAATTAGGTTGGAAAGAAAAATATTTTTTTTCCATTCATATTCAAAAATTTATCAATAATTGATTTTGTAAATTAAAGAAATTTCACTGATGAATAACTGTTTCTCTGAGATCTAAATAACTGCAAATAAGTGCATTTTTGAAAAATAATAGCTTGGAAGTGAGTCGTGTCAATTTATCTTAAACGCGGAAAAAGACACCGTTGTTTCATGCTGTATTTTAGAACCATTAACTATCAAAATTTTATAATATACAGTACAGAACCCGTTATCCGGAAATCAGAAAACCGGAAAACCAAAAAACCGGAACGAAATTCGTTCAATTTTCCCGCCATATTTTTAAAAAATAATTTTTTTCCTCATAAGATTTTAGGATTTCCCTTTCTTTTTTGAAAGATGTTTACCTTACCATCATTTTGGAAATAATCATTAGTGTATTACTTCATCGTTTTTTCTTCTTTTTAAGATTATTTCCAAGGAAAATTTTTTTTAGTTGGGTTTAGCAATAAAAAAACGGCTTTTTGTAGCGATTCAGAAAACCGGAAAAATCAGTTATCCGGAATAGCGATGATTCCGATCGTTCCGGATAATCGGTTCCCTACTGTATTTCTTGGTTAAGTTTCGGGTTTTTGGTTGCGTAATAATTCCGGTAACGAAGTAATATAACCTCTTTAAATGATCTGCCTATTTTTATTTATCAAGTATTTTTAAGATGCTTATTGTGTAGATAAATAATCTATGTACGTAAATATAAAAAAAAACTTTAGTCGCTAATCTTTGAAATATCAACTTCTGAACTTATCAGCCACGTCTTTTCTATTCTGAATTATTCAAAATGATAAGATTGGCTTATTTTTAGCGTTACCCTACTTTATCGAGCATTCATTTCATAAAAGATAAATTTAAATTGATATTTTTGTTAAGTTACTGCTACCTTATCACTATGGTTCATTGCGTGTATATTGAATAGGGGATTAAAGCACAGTTTGAAACATGTTAGTCTTTTTTCAATTAGATTTTTTTAGTATAAAAATATTTTTTTTATAAATCATCAATCGTATTAAGATTTCTCCTATCAGTTCGTCTATTGATGTTTTCCAATCCGATTATGTGTCATTAGAGCAATATGTGTTACCCATGAAACTGTGCAAATATTACATCAAAGATAGTTAAATACGGAAGTGTTCTGAGGAAGTTTACATAGTTTTGCTTCAGAAGAACGGAATAAATGGTTCTGACTGGTTCACTAAGTAGAATCCTTCATATATAAAATTCTCACATCTGTAGAAGTTATAAACTGACGTTTTATAAATAGATGCTTTTCCGACAATTATTGGAATTAGAAATAATTGGAAAACTTAATTTTAATTTTGTTCTTTCTAAAAGTAAAATATGTGTTATTAGAGCAATATATGTTACCCACAAAACTGCAAATGTTATTCTATAGAATGTTAAACACGGAAGTATACTGAGGAAGTTTACATAGTTTTGGAGAAAGGGATAAATTGTTCTGATTTGTGTTAGTCCATTTAATTAGAATCCTTCACTTCTAACATATCGCTGCTTCAAAACTAAAACGACGCATCTGCAGGCAACCCGTTTGCAGATGTGTCGTTTTAGTTTTGAACCAGCGATATATTCGCACATCTGTAGAAATTGTAAACTTATATTTTAAAAACAGATGCTTTTTCGACAATTATTGGAATTAGAAATAATTTAAAAACTTAATTTTCTTTTTGTTCCTTCTAAAAGTAAAATATATGTTATTAGAGCAATATAGCATATATCATTTTTAGAGCAATATATCATTCCGTCATTTTTTTCTTCATGAAAAAAAAACTTGTAGTGCCTGTTGCAAATAATTTTTTTAAAAAAATCGCTTTAATGTGGGCACTATTTAGATGGGTCAATTTCACATTAAAAACACAAGAAAAACAGAACAGGGAGATAAATTACACCCATGCCAGAAGCAAGGTTCAAACCCGGGTTCTTACTGTTTCGAGATTAATTCCATGACCACCATCATACCAATCATAGTTTCGTCATTCTAATTAACCATCTACCTCAATGCTTTATAATGAGGTTTCGAGTTGATGAAGCATTTTCGTCACATATATGAGAGTTTCCGTTTCGTCACAAATCACATGATTTCGTGGTAAAACAATTCTCAAAATTAATGACATGGAATTTTATTTCTGAGAGTGTACTAATAATTTCGCTGCCTTATTTTCATCTTGACAGACGAATGGGCAATTTTCGTTGAAGAGTAGACATGTGAATTATTAAATATATCGTTGATTTTTCATTTAAAATCAATAAGATGCTAAGTTAAAAATAATAATTCTTATTGAATAAAATACTTTCTTGTTTTAGTTTTAGATTTGACATTTTTATCTAATAAATTTAGTACTTTTTGTAAAACCACTCTGTGTTGCTTTTCATAATAATTCAAATGAAATATTTATAAGTGGAACAAATCGTTGCTGAAACAATTTCACTTTTAACGGTTTAAAGTTACATAATAATTTAATTAGCAAACAATTGAAAACTCAATGCAATACAGATGATTATTCATGCCACGATGCGCAGTTTTATGAGTTGAAAACAATTTACTGTTTTGAGGTCATATTTGAAATGAAGTTAAGATCAACTTGAATTTAAATTAACTAACGATTATCGAGTAAATGTTTTAGCGAATACTTGCTTCAATGATATGTTGTTTAAAAGCATAATTATATTTTTAAAAAAATAACTATATTGATGCCAATTACTGTGTTAACAACTAAGAGAAGTAATAAACTGTAATTTAATTGTAGAATTTTTTTTAATTTTAATGATTTTTCAATGTTTTTTTCTAGGAGGAAACCATTTGTCATGAAGACTCTTGCTATGGAACTAGATGACACCATCAACCAAGCCGATAATCTGGTCACATTAAAAGTTTACATCCCAGACTTACTCATACAAGTAGGAATCAATTTTTTTTTTCATTTTTTAATTATTTTCTTCATTCGTAATATAATTGAATTCACTGAGAGAAAAAAAGTATGGTCAGAATTACCAGAATAAAGTAAAATTTACATTTTTTTGCTCGTTAATTTTTATGGAAGAGCTTTGGGAGTGATTTTGGCGAAATTAACTATAAAATATAAATGTTATAAATTGTGATAAAATTTAGTAAACGGGGTAAAATTTGGCTATTTTATCATGATATATTAGAACGTGGCATGAAAACCATTTATTCGGTTAAATTTACTTTTCAGTTTTGTATTTTTACTAATTGTGCTGTAATGAGAACAATAATTTTAAAAAAATCAGAATTTCCGATAATCTATTACTATATGAACGGAAAAATTCCCTAATGAATGGTTTAAATATTGGTTTTATTTACCAGAAATATATTTTTTTTATCAGGAATGACATTACTGTACACGACGGTAATTTTTCTAGATTTCTTTTTTTTGTAAGACATTTTAAAAATACTTTATTTCTGGAAGGTCATGTTAATATCTGTTGCAATTAAAAAAAATTATTTATTACATCAATGCCAATTTCAAAATTAAAAGAAATATTTTAAACCAATTATTAGTCTCCTTACACTTTCAGAAAAATATATTATACGTTGAATTCTAACATTGATACGTTGAATTTTAATATTGATAAGTTGAATTCTAATATCGTGAAATTAAGTTCAAGAAGAAATAGTTTGCTCGATATCGTTCCTTGGCTCCGTATTAAGGCTGCAGCAAATTTGAATGATATAGCTCATTACGACGTTTTTTTCATTTCTACTTACTTACTAAAACTGTCTCAGACTATGTTCTCACACTTAGAGCTCAATAATTGTTTACGTTTTTCAAGAATGGGTCTTATTAATAAAGACGATATTTTTCTTGATAATCTAGTGATATAGTATTTTTTTAATAGTAAAGGGAATGACTTTTAACTAATGTTTAGAAATATCACCGTGAACCAAATATTATTTTGACCTTTAACTATATTCTGTTAGAAATTTTTCAAGTTATCTTATCTTGTATTTAAAAGGTAAAACTTATAAACAATTTCAACAAATTATTTTTAAGTTTAACCTTTTTTTAACAACGTAGAAAGATGGATGAAACAAAACTTTTCCATTTTAAATTTCAAGCGTTTTTTAGATCCACAAAACATTATATTCTTTTACTTTTCAATACTAAATGATTATGGTTGCATCTAAACATAAATAATGAAAAGTCAAAGTATTTATCTTGATATCTGTATTTTGCAGTTTTTGAAGTATTCTTTTGTTTCCCTCCTACCATCAAATTTTAAAAGTTCTAAGCATTCCTTTAACCCTACTTAATGGAAAATAATTTACAACAATTTTCTTTTAACTTTTTATTTCTTTTTCCTCCTTTAAAATAATTTTCTGTCAAAACTTTAAAATATTTAATGTTACACTAGCAAATACAGATAAAAAAAATTACGCCTGCTAAAAAACTTATGTATTTCTCTTTAAAATGCAAACATTTAGATTCACTATCGATTTAAATTTGAATTCATATCCAAGAGTCTCTTCTAAAAAGTAGGGCACTGTTTTGTTACTTTTTCTTTCTGTTCTGGATTTGTTCCGGATGTTGTTTGGGCCTATCATATCGATTTTGAATTCTATCCTAATACATATCCGGTAAATTCTAAACCTAGAGTTGTTTGTTCTAGTTTTATCTTTTATTTTATTAGATTGCACTAGTAAAATTTTATATGTTCTGTTGTTTTACGAAACGTACACTGTTAGAATTATATGTTCAACAGTGGACCATAATATCGGTAAGTTGTGAATTAATGAAAACAGTTATGAACTTTGTTCCGTTTCAAGTATCAGAAAATTCAAAAATTACAGTTTCTTCGAAAAACCTTTTAGAAATATTGGTTCAAAAGTGAACTCGAATATCGGTACATTAAAACATTATGCGGTGAAAATTTGCTGTATCCTTAATAACGTGATATATTAAACCATGTTTCCTTTCATTCTGAATCATAGTATCGTGTAACTATCGTACCTTTTGAACTGGATTAAGTTTATAAGATACGATAATATGATGCAACTTAGCCCCATATTAAGGTTTTAGAAATATTGGTTCAAAAGTGAACCCGAATATCGGTAAATTAAAATTTTATGCGGGGAAAACTTGCTGCATCCTTAAACCATGTTTCATTTATTCTGAATCATAGTATCGTGTAACTATCGTACCTTTTGAACTGGATTAAGTTTAAAAGGTAGGATAATATGGCGCAACTTAGCCCCATATTAAGGTTTTAGAAATATTGGTTCAAAAGTGAACCCGAATATCGGTACATTAAAACATTATGCGGTGAAAATTTGCTGTATCCTTAATATCGTGTTAAATTAAACCATGTTTCCGTTCATTCTGAATCATAGTATTGTGTTACTATCGTACCTTTTGAACTGGATTAAGTTTAAAAGGTACGATAATATGGTGCAACTTACCCCCATATTAAGGTAGCACTAATTGTGAACGATAGTATCGTTATCTCGTATCAATATTATCTAACAATGCAGACATCGTTGCAAACCGTGAATCATATATTTGACTTTTCTTTTACTTTTTTTATTTCGTGCGCACTGTTAGAAATTTCTTGAAAAAAATGGTTAAATAACAATTTATTTACTTGTCATTTTACCATATTCAAACAAAACAGTCGAATAACCGTAAATAAGATTGTATTCAAGCTGTTAGCTGTAAGAAAAACTGTTTATTAACTGCTTTCACCTAATACGGTTTAACAACCATAATTTTATAGCCCTAACTATACCTTCCTAATAAAGTCACTAAGTTCCTTGCAGACGCTAACATATTATAGTCGCGAGGGCTAATCTGTCAGTCTCACTACCGACAGAACTGGGGTTCGAGTCCGAGTGTTAACCCCGCAATATTGCCCCCATTCCCTTCAAAACATGAAACGTTTCCCGTGTCCTGCAAATTGCCCATAACCTAACAAAAACTCTAGCTTCTTTGTTCAATTAAATTTATTTTTTACGGTTTTGAAATCATGTTAGTTGTAAATGGTTAAAAAATCAGAAATGTAAAAAAGATGCTTTTTACTATAAACTTTAAGGCTACTACAATTTCAAAATGGAAATTCTAACTATGTTCTTATGACCACACATTTAGTAAAAAATTCGAAACTAAAAAGTGCATTTAACCGAATAAATAGGTTTTTTTGCCATGCTCTAAAATATCATGATAAAACTACCAAATTTTGCCTTATTTACTACCAAACAGCATTATCATAAAACTATATTTTATTGTTAATCTTACCAAAAGTCATCACCAGACCTCTTCGTTAAAAACTTACGTCGTTTTTGATGTTCCCATAGAGCAAGAAACATGGTCAATTTTGTCATATTCTACTAGTTTTGACTATAATTTTTTTTTTTCTCCGTGCAGTACTTGATAGTAAAAAGCTGAAATCTCTCTGCTTAATCATCGATTTTTATTAGCGTTATACATTATCATTCATTAAGATCTTGTTAATAAGATTAACTTTTACAGTTGAATTGATAAGATTAATGTCTTAAAATTACCGTGTTTTGCCATCATGAATCGACAAAATCGTGATTTAACAACAATGAAATCATAAGATTTTTAATTACTGCTTTTTGCTTATCTGCTAACATTGAAAAAAAATGGTAATAGTAAAAAAATGGCTTAGTTAAGTTCGAATAAAATAAAAGTGAATATTATCTAATTGAGTCAGTCATAAATAAAATTGCTGTAATCAAAATCTGATTCAAACTAAAAAAGAGGCCTGTCTTTATAAAATCAATATTTAACCCAAAACACTTTCATATAATTTAAAAAGCTATTTTCGCTTTTTTTTTACTCTTTGCTCCTTATTTAGTTAGAGTAACTTTTATAGTATTTGCGAAGGTCTTGAAACATATAATTTTAAACAAGTTATAAAACATCCTTTCAATCTTAAACTTTCAAATGAGTCAAAATGCTGCAATTTATTGACACAATAAAATTATATGCGTAGAAGAGTGTCCCAAGAAATTAATTATTATTTTTATTATCGAAAGTTAATGTTTTTACCTCTTTAAAAATATGATATATCTTTCAACATCAATAACCAATCACGCCCTAATTCTTCCAGAAAAAAAGTTGAAATGCTGTCGCTTTACCATCGATTATTAATAAGTGTTATACTCTGTCATTCATCAAGGTCTCTTACCTATAACCATTCATTATATTTGGCCGTGATTAATTTCAGAAGTGCAAAAAGTAAACATAGCTGAAACACAATGGATTTTTTCCTGGTTATGTTGTAAGTTGGTTTTATTTTCGTGGGATAGGATTTAATTGGCGCTTCGCCAAAATGGTAATTTGCATTGCCTCATAAATTTTTTATGATACTGAATCAATTTTCTTATTAATGAGAATCCCTTTGAGTATTTTCAAGAGAGATCTTTTACCCTACACTGTTGGAATTTTCATCCTAAAAATATGATAAAATAATCGGCACAATCTGTCCATCCAAATAACCGTAAAGTTTTCGGTAAAGAACATTTTTTTACCTTTACGGTTTTGAAACAGTTTACAACTAGTATGGTTAAAAAACCGTAATTATTTTTTTTAAACTGGACATAGAAGCTAGGGTTTTCATTGAGTAATGAGCATCGAAAAGTGCTAAACATAAATTGGGGGGTGTGCGGGACACTGAAAACTGTGCTAAAGAGAACGGTGGAAGGAAATTGCAAAATAAATTCAATATAGTATTTAATAGTATTATTACAATATAGTATTTAAAATCAATTAACCCTTTAAATTGTATATGAAAGCTCGATATGGTCTCTTACCTATAGGTGTTAACTTGTTTAAAAGTGTTCCTTCAAACAATTTTTTGGGTTGTTCTACATCAAATTCGGAGAGATAGTAAGAAAAAGTTCTTACAGTCAATGGGCA